CGCGCGGGGTTTTCCTGCTTAAACCGTTCACGGGCAGCCCTCCCCCCCCAGCCCATTTAAAGTGTTGGCAGATGGAGTCAAACCCTCTCTCCCTCCGCAGCCTCGCAGTTCCCGGCCTGTAGAGCCGGATTCCTCCCTGGCCTGGGAGTATAGACACCCCCCTTTCCACATGCTCCCCCCCCCCCCCGCCGCCCCACTTAACGAATAGGAGCCCGGATGTCGAGGGAGTGTGCACGTTTCAGTAAGGTGGGATGTAGGACAGAAGAACACGGGGAGTCCCACGAAGCGGTCACCTCCCCCCCACGCAGGGATTGGCTTCGTGGAAGGCGTGACTGCGACGGGGTGGCCCTGAAAGGGGCGCAGTGCGTGTGAGTGGGAATCAGAGAAAGAGATAATGAGAAGAAATAAAGTAGTGAGAGGGCAGAAAGGTCAGTGAGGGGGCCCATAAAGAGCCCGCAAAGTTGAGGACGTGGAAGGTCCTTGCAAATCGACTGTAGGTATGAAAGAGGAACTCGGGAAAGTGGTAAATGGAGGACAAATAGAGACCATGGAGGAAAGGGGGGAGCTCTAGAGACGTGAAGGGGAGCAAAAGGGTGAGGAGCCCTTGGTTAGCAGAGGTGGGGCCCCGAAGGGTGAGGTACCTGAGATGGAGAGAGTCAGGGGGAAAAGTTGGATGAGGCCAGTGCAGGGGCTGGAAGGGAGCAAGGGATGACCGAGCCCAGCAAGAATCAGCACTGTGTTGGCCTTACGGGTTTGGCTCAGCGGATGGAGCGTCGGCCTGCGGACTGAAGGGTCCCAGGTTCAATTTCGTTCAAGGGCATGTACTTTGGTTGCGGGCACATCCCCAATAAGGGGCGTGCAGGAGGCAGCTGATCGATGTTTCTCTCTCATCTATGTTTCTCTCTATTCCTCTCTGTAAAATATCAATAAAATACATTTTTTTAAAAAAAGAATCAGCTTAGCCAGGCGGTGGTGCCAGGGAGTCTGGCAGGAGAGGTGGAAACAGAAGGGAAGCAGAAGGGGCACAAGGATGGGGGAGGAAAGCGAAATGTATGGAGGTGGGGAACAATCAGAGATTACGGAGAAAGGGCTACTGAAGGTGAAGGTTCCAGTAATTTCACGGAACGGGTATAGGACAGGAATAGAATAAAGGGGAGAGGGGAGACAGGAGCGAGGGGGAACACAGGAAAGGACAGTGGAGAGAAACAAAGGAAAGAGAGCGACCTAAACGGATTGAGAAACAGAAGTGGAGGAGGAAGGGAACCCAGTGCTGGGTGAGTGGAAAACTGATGGATGTGGGTGATTAAGTTGTGAGGTGTTGACTTGTGGCTTTATGACCTATTTAATTTAATATTTGTATTTCAGTTATACAGATGCAACTGAGAATTGCAAAGGTCCAGTTTATAAGGCTTGCTCATTTTATAAATGATAAAATGGTTATTTGCGTCAGCATATAGCTTTCATTTGCAGCCCTTATTCAGCCAGAGGGGAGAGTCTTGTCTCAGTCAGTCCTGGGTCTCTTCCCATTTCCTGGGATGGGATTAGCGAAGTGAACTGGGACAAGAATGACCAAGTCTATCCCCACATGGTCCTTTTTCAAGGAGTATTAAAAGTGTTGGTGTTTTATTTCTTTGAAATGGGTTTACTTTTTCCTTTCTACTGCTGTTACATTTATTTCACTGTATTTTAAAAAGTATATTGAAATAGCCCTAACTGGTTTGGCTCAGTGGATAGTCAGCCTGTAGACTGAGGGATCTCAGATTCGATTCTGGTCAAGGGCATGTACCTTAGTTGCAGGCACATCCCCAGTACGGGGTGTGCAGGAAGCAGCTGATTGATGTTTCTCTGTCATCGATGTTTCTAACTCTCTATCCCTCTCCCTTCCACTCTGTAAAAAATCAATTAAAAAATATTTAAAATAGTATATTGAAATAAATTTTTGTTGAATTTCCACTTTGTTGTAAATTTTCATTTACTTCTGAAATAAGCATTATTGACATCTCATTACCAACTCTTACCATTCTTTTCTAAATATAGGGCAGCTTAAATTAAAAAATAAAATTAACCCTGGAAGTCATTATATTTTTGAAAATTTGAATTGTTTTCCCTTCTAAATATATTGTATCTAGTTTAGATCATGTGCTTTGCATTCTTTCTCTCCTTTAAAATATGTGGGAACATCCATTGGTATACACAAATGATTAGGCTATTTCAGTGTACACTAAGTAAGGATGGCTATGTTCTTGAGAGAACCTAGTTTTACTGGGTTAGTATAATATTCACAGTTTTAAAAATTCCATTTATATGATTTGTTAAATTAGTGAGCTGTGAGCTACAATGATATTCCTCTAAATCCCTTTTCTCCATTCTCTGAAAATGTTGAAGGATGGACATGAAACTTTGTTCCAAGAGAGCTCATCTGTTCATGGTGAAGGAATTTGATCAAGCTATTTCCAAAGGTAACATGTTTTTCAAAGTTTTCAGTGCCAAAACCTAAGTGCACAATCATATGTTTTAAATAATTCGCTGTGAATACCTGGAAAATATGCAGGAAATGCTTGTGTCTCTTTAGTAGACCTGTGGACAGACAGTCCTATTAAGGTAGACGGAGTATTATTAGTGCCTTTTGGACAGACAGATCAGGAAATTGAGGCAGTAGAATGAAAGGCTCAGATGCTGGAAGCAGAAAGCCATGAGTCAAGTCAAATCTTGGCTCCGTGACTCACAAGCTGTGTGAGTTTGGCAAATTATGTACCTTGGGGTCAGCATCTGAGAAATGGGATAATAAAGGCTCCAACTTGCAATTAAGTGTGTGAATTTATAGAAAGCCCAGCACAAGACCTGTGTCACTGAGGTGCTATGTGTGCAAGTGATCACTACAAAGTGTTTCTTGTTAGAGCTCCCTGTGCTCATCAGGAACCCACTGGGACTTTCTTGCTCTCACCCCCTTCAATCCACCTGCCTCCTGCCCCCACACCTGTTTCCAGGTTCTTTCTTCCATCACAGGCGTCCCATGATGCTGCTGCCCTGAGTAGGAAGTCCCAGCACCTTTGCCTGGTGTTTGAGGCCTTGGTTTTCCTGTGGCATTTTTCAAAGCTTCTCCCACACCCATCCCAGTCTGACCAAAGTTACCGGAACACCCTGAGCATTTTCATTCTTGGAGGGCTTTGCCTAGGGTTTTCCTCCCCGTGATCCATGAGACCACACTCTCCTGGCTTATAGACTGTTGGGCCCAAATATCTCCCTTATGGCCCTTCACACTCACAGATCCCACTGAGCTCACTGTCTTTTCTAATCTTCCTCTTTTCCCAGCATCCCCTCTGTCCACTCCAGTCACTGGACTAGACCCAGGGTCCTCTGTGCCAACAAGTCCCCCACCCCTATTCTCTATCCCTCTTTCTCCTGATTTCAGACCCCTGAATTGACCCATTCTCTCCTTTCCATCTTCATGGTTTCAGGTGGTTCAGCTTCTGTCCTCTGTCCCTCAGCTTTCTTCTAGACTCCTCTTTGGTCTCCAGTGTTTATCATCCAGTCTGTCCCCCTCTCATGGCCTTAAAGGGGTCTTCCTGTATCCAGTGCTGACCTACACTCCCCTACTTACAGCCAGCCCTCTCTCATTCCACCTGTCCCTTCAACAGTGTCCAGGGTCCTCAGTTTAATGAAGAACTCACCAAGACAAGTTATTGCCAACGAACCATCAGGCCGCATTGGGTGCCTAGGGCCCATCTACCTCTTCCTTCACCGGTGCAGGCATCAAGCAGGTACTAGCAGCAGGAGCTGAGGGGCCTAAGGAATTGTAAGGGCTGTGTTCCATCAGACCCTGGGTTTTTTTGGGGGGGTCGTAGGGAGGAGGAGTCTGAGAGAAGAGAGGTAGGTGGTGATTGGGGAGAAGTGCTAGGACAGGGAAGGAAAGGCCTTCCTGGTGCTGGTTGTGTAACCTCGGGAGTACTCCTGGCGCACTGTGGCTTAGGCTCCACATTGGTAAAATGGGCACAATCATTACCACGTAATGTTGTCACAAGAATTAATGACTCTGCAGAAAGAGCTTAGAACAGCCTGGCCCTTAGGAAGATTGCATTTTATTTTGTAATTGGAAAAATGTGTTTCTATTGTTTTTCCATCAAATTGTTTATTCCTCTTCTTTAATATCCTGTGAGAGTTATAGGGGTGACAAGAACCTTATGTGTCTAATTCATTGCCAGAACCTATTAGTTAGAGCTCAGTAGATAATATTCTAATAGTTTCAATACATGAAATATTTCAGTGAATGGATAGATAATAAAACATGCAGTGTATGAAGCTAAGATGGCCCATTGGAGCCCACAGATCAGGCTCCCTTTGCTCCTTCTACACTCCATCTCCTGCTCTCTCCCACTCCCTGCATCAGCTGCAGGCACAGGGGCCTCCGCACTGTTTTTAAACACATAGGCAGGTTTCTGCTTTAGGTCCTTTGCCGTGACTATTACATTGTTCCCAACCTTCACTGAGTTTTCCACGCTGTTTTAACTTGTCTTCGTTGGGCTTCTCTAGACTCAAGATATTTTTCTGTTTATTTGTTTATATATTTATTGTCTGTCTCCTGATTAAGGTCCCACATGTGCAAGGCCTTTGTCTTGTTCTGTTCTGTGTCTCCAATGCGAGGCACCAAAGAGATGGTAAATAAAACTTGAATGAGTGAATGCGTAGTAGTCATAAATGTAAGTACTAGTGACAAAGCTAAAGATGAATGACATAATGATTGGAAATGTAGGGAGAAATTGAGAAACATATATCGAGTGAAAGTTAGAATTTTTTTAATTCCTCTCTCAGAACTTGGCAGATCTTTAGACAAATACAACAAGGACAAAAAGACTGAATAACACCATGACATAAGGTTGGGAGTGTATATACACACCCACTTGACTCTGATGATACAAAAAAATATTCTTTTCCTAAGACCATGCTCAGTTACATAGGTGATTTTATACTTAACCTCAGGGTAAGCATCAAAGAAATGAAAAGGTTGAGTATTACAGGGCACAGTCTGCCCTCATATTGCATAAAATACTTTCATGTTGATACTGTAGTGCTGGCCCATCCAATATGGCAGCCAGACTCCTCCTGAGGCTGTTGTGCGTGTGAACTGTAGCCAGTCTCAGTTGAGATGTGCTGTTAGTGGAAGATACATACTGATTCTTCAGAACACAGTAGGGGGAAAAGGATGTGAAATACCTTACATAAGTTTCTTTAAATATTGACTATTTGTTGAAATAGAACTATTTATAGTAAGTGTGTATTCAGTTAAATAAAAGATTGGGTTAACTCACATTTGTGATTTAATGATTAATTGTTTGAAAATTATAAAGTTATCAAAAATAAATCCAACCAGATTAGTATAGAGAACAGATGAATGGTTGCACTGGGTTGCACTGAGTTGTCAGGAGGGGTGTCAAGTTAAGGATCTGGTTTGTGGTCCCTGATTTAAACAAACCTACCTGTGTGATAAAATTTCATAGATATATACACACACACACTTACACACCCACCCACGTAAATTTACCATGTAAGGGTTCAATTGGGTCTCTCAAAAATAATATGTTGAAATCTTATCCACTGCCTTGGGATATTACCCTATTTAAACAAAGGATCCCAGCTGAAGCCGGTTTGGCTCAGTGGATAGAGCGTTGGCCTGCGGACTGAAGGGTCCCGGGTTCGATTCCGGTCAAGGGCATGTGCCTGGGTTGCGGGCACATCCCCAGTAGGAGATGTGCAGGAGGCAGCTGATCGATGTTTCTGGCTCTCTGTCTCTCTCCCTTCCTCTCTGTAAAAAATCAATAAAATATATTTTAAAAAAAATAAACAAAGGATCCTTAAAAAAAATAATCAACTTAAATTAAAGACATTAACAGTGGGCCCTCCTCCAATATTCCTGTTGTCCTTATTAACAGGGGAAATCTGGTCACAGAGATATGCATAGAGAGAAAAGGTACTAATTTTTTATTCCCAAAAACAATGTTAATGAGAAATAATGACTTGGGCCTATGGATTTGCTTCTCTGCAGTTAAAAGCATAAATTTCCACATGAAGATTTAGGGCTGCATTAAGGTTTTATTATAGTCAATCTGTTGTGTTTCAGGAATTTGTTTTCTGTTTCTTTCATAATAATTATGTTTGTTAAACTATAAAATTTAGAGTTTATTTTAATTTAATCATATTTTCTTCCTCAAATTTAAGAATATGACTACTAACCTTATAGATATTTAACTTATGTGTCATAGTAAGTACTTTTAATGTATAAACACGGTATAAATACAGGTTCAGAATTCTCACAATAGAGTCAAACCCATAGGAACAAAGATTAGAGGAAAGATTAGCATTGACACAGGCAGAGGAGAGTGGAAATGGGAGTTGCTATTCAGCGATACAAATTTTTATTTATCAAAGATGAATAAGTTTCAGAGATCCACTGTACAACGTTTTGCCCGTTAACACTATTGTATTGTACACTTAAAATTTTATTAAGCCTGACCAGTGTTGCTTAGTAGTTGAGTGTTGACCTATGAACCAGGAGATCGTGGTTCAATTCCGGGTCAGAGCACATGCCAGGTTGCCGGCTCGATCCCTTGTCAGCCTATGGTTGGGAGTCTCTCTTATCATTGATGTTTCTATCTCTTTCTTCCTGTCCCTTCCTCTCTGAAATCAATAAAAATATATATTAAAAAATTGAAACGTTAGATCTCATGTGAAGTGTTCTTACATTAACAAGAGCAATGATTAAAATGTGTTTGGGGGTACAGTTAGAGAAAGTGAACATGAATGTGATACAAACAATCTCATGTTTTGACAGGCTTCTAGAGTATGCTCCTTTACTTCATTTGCAAATACAGCTGTGATGGAAACACTTTTCTACCCCTTGTCCCTTAGGGATTGAGGCTCCATTCACCTATGGACAGGGGATGAGGGAGATTGTCCTGTTATACGACGTGTCCCATGGGAGGGGTGTGGCCAAAGAACTGGGGACTGAGTGGCATTTTGGAAGGATTTTGAGGGCAGGATTCTTGCAGAACCCTGTTGCCACCAAGTTTTCTCTTCTCCCCTGTTGCATCTGCACAGTAGCTACAGGCCTGGCCAAACCCATTCCAGGAAAACGCCATCTGTAGGGATGCACCCTGGGAGCCTGCCCTTTAGAAGTTCCTACCCCAACCCTTCACACTACACACAGGGCTCAGGTGTGTTGGGTCTAGTATCTCTAGCCCACTGCTACCTAAAGCAGGTCACCTCCACCAGAGCACTAAGTAAAGATGCTATTTCATGGGCCTCACTGCAGCTTTACAGAATCATAACTTTTTAGAGTGAAACCTTGATCCCCACGGTTCTATATGCACATTAAAGCTGTAGAAGAAATGCTTAGCTAGATGGTCCCCTTCCATTAGACCACTTGACGAGTTGTAAGAGATAACAGTGCCTGTGCCTTCCCCCTCAGAGTTGAACAACTGCTCTGGGTAGAACATTGTTGTCATTTTAGTGTGGTGCTCCAGGAGATTCAAAAGTGTGGCCAGTGTTGAGCAGAAGGGCTCCCTGCCCCAGTGCATTTGTGAGAGTTGACAATGGGCTTTGGTCCAGGGTCCTCTCTTGGGTTTGGGAGGAACAGAAGTGCAGCCTACTTTCTCATTGCTGGGTTGGAATTTGGGCATGTCTGTCGGAGGGAAGAGCAAGGGAAGACAGGCGAGAAAAACAGTTTGATCTTCATGTAGCATCTCATTGTTTCTTAATCTCTCCTGTGTCAAGGGTAGGGGAGTGTGACATTTTTTCATCATTCAAGTCCTTCTGCCTGTGAGTGTGGTGGAAGCATGGCATATGCTCAAGATGCAGGTGTGATTGGTCAACATAAAGTCGCCTGAGAAAACAACCCAGAGGAGGAGGAGGAAGAGGACAATATGGCTGCTTCTCAGGTAAACGCTCTGTTTTGGCTCAGTTCTGTGTCTGCTTTTCCTTTTAAAATTCATGTATTTAGATGGTGCAGACCTGCAGACCTTTACTTCTCTATTTCTGATGATCCTGCAACACAAAGTTGTTTTCACCTGCTTAGTTTTTTTCCTTGTGATTCTATATGTTCCCTCTTTAAAATGTGTCTGTTGCTTAGGGTTTTTTGGGTTCCCCAAGATAGAAATCAAGAGGAACCTCTAGAGTTATATCTTGGGAAATTTTCTTAGGCTTATGCTCGATCATAAGGGAGACAACACAGAAGAAAGGAAGGTCCTCTGAGCTGAGGGGCAGGCGCAGCTTGGCGGCCCTAACAAGCTTGGGACACATAGGAGGGTGGTTTGAAAAAGGCCTGCTGGTGGAGATTTCCATTTCAGGGTGCAGTTACTTCCTTTTCCAACGGGGTTGTCTGGTTGTTAGCGCCTGCGCTGTGAGGGAAAGATGGCAGTGTAGTTCACTAGAGCCACCCCAGGAAGGTCATGTAGCAGTCAAGCCTTCATCAACTGCTCAAGTACATGAGCAGTTTCAAGATCTGCAAGGAAGCAGGCCTTTAGGAGGGAGATAAAGTCAGCTACCTCTGCGTTTTTGTCCACAGCTTTCTGTCTGTTGTGTCCATCCAGGTCCCCCATAGGAATCTCACCATATATTAATGACCATTGTGTGGGAAGAAGGTACTTTCTTCTACCTTCAAAGTTCTCTCAGCTGGCCTAATCAGAAAGAGGGGATATGTATGGGAGCTGCACACACATGCCAGAGTCACAGACCCCACATGAAAGAGAGGTTCAGAGACTGAAAGGGAAATTTAGCATATGAGACATTCTGAGCCCGGGATGAGGTAATGCACCTTGGGACTTTAGAATATTGTTTCCAGGAAATCACATGTTCAGGAAATACTAGTTTCCTTACCATCTAGGTAGTTCAAATGTCATTTTTGGTTTAACATATATCACAGGTCAGGCTCATCATTTAAATTCTTCTAGGTAGTTAAGGGGGAGAGCAGAAGTTTCTCTTGAACCCAAAGGTCTTGATGCCTTCAGCTCAACATAATGCACGTACCATTGAAGCACATCTTAAGGTGCCTTGTTCTGAACCCCTATCTTCAACTTTTCAAAACATTTTCTTTGCCACAGTTCAACATGGGAAGGCATTGATATCCGAGTTCCCTAATGAGATGGTGTTTGCAGAAGGGAAATAGAGGTTTTAGATTTTGTATGGCTGCAGCATCTGCTCTGCAGAACAGGATTGAGACAAAGCACCTTTAAGCAGGATGGCCTTAGTGGCCGGGATTAGATCAGAAAGTTCTGAAAAAGAAAACTCGTTAGCAGAGACTTGCTCTCTACATTGGCATGGAAGTCTTACTTTTTAAATGCACTGTGAGATTTATAACGTACAGGAGGTATTTGTGGAATGAATTTTGTATAAAATTGGTGTTAGTGATGATGTGTCCTTCTGTCACTTGATGTCCCTTCCTTTGCACCTGATTTTCACTTGGTGCGGGTGTTCTCTGTGAAATATAGAGTTAATTTTTGTTTTTTTTAAATAAGGGTGTCAAAAGTATTTTGAGAGTTGTGCATAAATGATCACATTTCTTCTGGAAACTTCGATTGCTTTTCAGTTTCACTTTATTTGTAGGTTGCTTTGTTGTTGTTGTTCACTGGAGATACTTGCTTTGCCCCAGACCTGTACATTTTTATTGTATTTCACCGACTTGTCACAGATACACTCTTCTTTATCACTGCTTTGTATTTTCAAAAATGTTTACAAGCATCATAGTAATGGATGTTCAAGTGTGTTAAATTTATAAACTACAGATCAGCACCAAAGATAACTTTTATCAAATAAATAAAAGGCTAAGAGTCCGCAGGCCGTCACTCTATCCGCTGAGCCAAACCGGTTTTGGCAATGCTAATATTTTTTATCATGGTGTGTTTACCTCCCTTTTGTGTTTATAAAATACAAAGACAATCTTTCACAAAGAGATTTATGACATTGACATTAATGTTGATTTTATTTCAGGTAATTTTATTGACATGAACATTTTATTTTGTGTGCATATAATGTGTACATAGTTTCCATTTTTATGTCTGCCTCTTTGCAGAAAATGTTAACATTATTTTACCTCTTCTTTCTTCTTACCTTCTTGTTTCTATTCTTTACAGTTACAATAGCTGTGTATTTTCATGAGGGTTGTGTCTGTGTACTGGTCTGTGATCTTTTTGACAAATTCGAGGTAAAGTTTGAAATAACACCCAGGCTCTACCATTTTATGGATATTTTACAAAATATTTTCCTTAAAAAGGGTGAATATCCATGGCTCACTTGGTTGAGCGTTGACCCATGCACTGAGAAATCACTGGTTCAATTCCCTGTTAGGGCACATGCCCGGGTTCAGGGCTCAATCCTTGGTAGGGGGCATGCAGGAGTCTGCTCATTGATGTTTCTATCCCATCGACATTTCTGTTTCTTTGTCCTTCCCCCTTTCTCTCTCTCTAAAAATCAATAAAAACATTTTTTAAAAAATGAACAATAATGTTATTATTCTTTGAATACTTTTGAGATTTATTAATTAATATATAAATGTTAAAACAACTGTGGTTGATGGGCTTACTAATCTATGAGACCTGTAAAGCCCATAAAATTGTTCACTCAAAATCTTGTATATGAATTTTTTTCCTGTGTTTTCTTCTTCTGTGGTATCCAAAGGTATGGCACATATACCAGCACATTGGCATCCATAGTTATAAGTGAGCTGGTTAAACATATGGAAATTCAGGCCCCACCCAGAACTCATTAAAATTTTATTTATTAGTTTGTTTATTTGTTCATTTATTTTTTAGCAGGCTTAATTCACTTTATTTGTCTTGTATAAAATTATGTGGTGGCCACAGCTGGAGCCTGGGTCCTCTGCACAGAAACTCTGGTAGGGGTCTTTACAAGATGGTCAGTGAATTCCTGATAGGAAGACTTGGTGAACACAGTCTCTCTCCAGAGATCTGGGGTGAGATAGCTGTAGGTCTTAGAGATGGCATCAGAGGTGTCCTTGGCGAAGTTGCCCAGGGTGGCAGTGCAGCCCCTGGCCGAGGTATAGCAGTTGTCAATACCAGCCATCATCAGCATCTTCTTAGGCACAGGGGCCAAGACAATGCCTGTACTCCTGGAGGCAGGGATGAGGCGCACCAGTAAAGAGCCACAGCGGCCAGTCACCTTGCAAGGAACGGTGGTTGTGGGTCTTGCCAATCTTGTTTCCCCTGTAGCCTCGCCGCATGGGCACAATAGAGAGCTTGGCCAGGATAATGGCTCCACGGATGGCAGTGGCTACTTCCTTTGAACACTTAACACACAGACCAAAATGTCCAATGGCGACAAATGCCTTGAACTGGGTCCTCTGGCCAGCACGTGTCTGCTTTTGCACAGGCATAATCTTCAAGACCTCATCCTTGAGGGATGCCCCCAAGAAAAAGTCTATGATCTCAGATTCCTTGATGGGCAAGGTGAATAGATAGATTTCCTCTAGGGATTTGATCTTCATGTCCTTGACCAAGCGGCCAGCTTGGTGACAGGGATCCACTCCTTGCCCTCGGCCTTGCCTCCATGAGCTACGCGGTTTCAGCCCCTGCCCTGATCCCGGCGGCCACCCCCCGGCCCCGGATGCCGCTGCCAAATCCTCCATGGAAACCCCAGAGACCTCCTATTCCTTGGAAAAGAAGCTCATTAAAATTTTAAAAGTGCTACACTGTGCTCACTCAGAATGACTTCTCCAGCTAAGAAATATATACACTTGATCCTCTGTGATTCAAACATAGCACTCAAAAATGGATATGCTTGTGTTGATGCCTGTATTTTTAAAATTTATCTTTCAGAAAAGTAAAACTTCTCCTGTGGTTTGGTGGATCATATGCCATCTTCCTTTCTAAAAATACATTAGAGAATATTAATGTCAAAGTGATGCTGTTGGATAACTCAGGATACTGTCCTAAGTCTAAACTGGTTCTATTAACTTTTCATTTTGGGTGACCTTATGACCTCTGCCCATGGTCAATTGAATAATGCTTTTCTTTTAATTTCCTTTTAATTTCAGGGGCAGTTGACCTTCAGTGATGTGGCCATAGAATTCTCTCAGGAGGAGTGGGCGTGCCTGGACCCAGCTCAGCGGAAACTGTACATGGATGTGATGTTGCAGAACTACAGGAACCTGGTATTCCTGGGTGAGGATCACTTCCTTCCAGAATTTCTCCTCCACCCGCAGGGTTTTGTTTTCTTCATTAGCACAGTGTCTGCTTGTAGCTTCTGCTTTTTATGATAGAGTTTCAGGTCCGTGTTATTAAGGAAAGCAATTGGGGTTTTGCTGGTGCAGAACAGAAAGGCTTCCTGATGTATTTGGAAGTGGAACTCAAGATTTGAAAACTTTAAATGTTGTCTCCAGTATAGTTAAAGGTTCTGTCAGAAAATAATATTTTGGAAAATAATTTTTTAGGATATTCTGGTATTCTACAATGTCCTATCTTACTTGAGCACAGGGCTGGATTGGAAATTGGAGATTCTCCATTGAACCCATGTTCCTTTTTCTTTTTCTTTTTTTATAAGTTTTTGGTTGTTGTTTTTAATATATTTTTATTTGATTTCAGAGAGGAAGGGAGAGGGAGAGAGAGGTAGAAATATCAGTGATAAGAGAGAATCATTGATTGGCTGCCTCCTCCACATCCCTTACTGGGGATCGA